AAATTGAAGTGAAAAAGAAAATATTTAAATTGTGCAAAGATTCTCAAGTACGGGCCTAAATCAAGATTCCTGACAAAAGTAACAAAAAGACCATTGAACATTAATGAGATCTCCTCAGCCAGAGTGGATCTTGCTGCATGTTTTTTCCAAAACAATCCTCATCATGTTTAAAAATAACTTGTTTATCAAGAAGCCTGGAAGAGTTTTGGCTCCAGAATATGATAATGTGTTCCTCAGAATGCTAATTGGACAGAAAAACCTACTCTGCACGAGATTGTTGACAACATGTGTCTCTTCCTTGTAAACCAGGAACAAAGCTTGTCTCCTGCCCCCTTATATTCCCTCCTTTAGGGGAAACAGTTTAGCCAGACAATTGTTGGACAGGAGTTTCTTGACCGCAACCCACAACTGTCACACACATGAGAGAGGACCCTCCGCGGATTGTGTACAAAGCTTCATCCAACACTGCAAATATAGTTTGATCAGCTCTTATCCACTGCAAATACAGTAAATCTCTTCAAAATATGCATACGGCTGCTCTATTTCCCAAATCAATGTTTAGTGTACAGATATCACACAGGATATGCAATGTGTTTATTATTCATTATCAGTGCTGCTCCAACTCCATGGCTTTGGTGCAATACATGTTATTACATGTTTTCTGCATGATTTTTCTAGCTTAATCCACCTTTAAACCTAAACTGTGTGTGTGTGTGTGTGTGTGTGTGTGTGTGTGTGTGTGTGTGTGTGTGTGTGTGTGTGTGTGTGTGTGCGTGCGTGCGTGCGTGTGTGTGTGCGTGCGTGCGTGCGTGCGTGTGTGTGTGTGTGTGTTACCTTGTTCCTCCGGTGACCTCCCTGCAGGTTCCTCACTGGTTATCTCTGCAGGCACCCAGAGGCTCTGCAGCAGCAGGGTGAAGGCAGACAGGCCCAGACAGAGCACCAGGCATCCACTAGAGGGAAACAAAACACAGATAAAACACGTCACATTCTGCAGCAAACAGCATACAGAACATCAGTGGCTCCCCATAGCTTCTGACAAACGTAAGTAGTACCCCTTGTTTCGCACAATTTATAGCTGGATTTTGTCATTTTTTGTTGTAATCACGCTAATAATTTCAAATATTTATCCATTCATTTTGTACTTTAAGCTAGCCATTACGACCATATATCCAATAGCTATTTATGTAACTTTTAGCTAACTCAACCTTTCATTCATTACATTTAATTCCCTGCTTTTTTTAACTATCTGCTCATTTCTTTTTACTTTAAGTTTCAATCAATGATCAACTCTTTTTGAACTTTGACATTTAAGTTGTCTGCTAACAACTCATTATTCAAAACATCCAAAATGAAGGTTTTACAACTGTCTTAATATGTGGATTTATTTATTTTTTATTAAATTAGTTAATCGACATTCTTACGAAGTGCCCAATCTTTTGCATCATATTTATTTAATAAAAAAAAGACATCAGTATTTTCAGTAGAGTTGGCTTAAACGACTCCATCCTTTTATGTTCTTATTATGTTTATTGGCCACAAATTGGAGATGACATAAAAGACCACCTTCTAATAATATGTGTCATAACCAACTAGATAAATCTCCTTTAAACATCATATATTTGACTTTAAGAGCGGATCTGATATAATAAAATCTGACAGCTTGACATTGCCTTTTGCCAAATACATTGAGAATGTGGGGAACTGAGTTGTTCCATGACTCTACGTGAGGACCCTGGTGTGTCAAAACAAATATCTGAAGCGTGATGGGACGTTATATCATGCGTCTGCTCCCTGCTTCAGTGTAACTGGGGTAGAGAGAGCCGTCACTTTGCTCTCGCTTTCATCAGGCCAGTAAAACCACCAACCCTCAACCAAAGAAACACGGTGTGGCCAAGCTCAAGAACGAGCACTAAAACATTCAAGTATCTCCAAGAGCCTATAAAGCTCCAGATTCAGATCCAAACCAATTATTTCCATTTCAATGTATCTGTCTGCATTTCATCAAAGTTGTCAGAGCACTCATCACCACATCATAATTATGTCTTCGGTTTAGGGCATTTACTGCTTGGAAAAGTAGGAGAGCTGCAAAGCTGCACAGGAAATCATATTTTTACTTTACTTTGTGAGGTCACATGCTTGGGAAATTAAGCAGGTGATAACGAATATAATCATGTACTCATGTGCAACGGTTTACAAAGCTTTCAAAATGAGAATGACATTTGTATTTTTTTAAGTAGGCTAAATAAAGCTAAGTGTCAGTGCAAGCTGCAGGGAAAGGTTTGGATGGGACACGGATCAGTCACTCTAAACATTTGTACTACTTCCTGGCTGCTGATCCAATGACAAAGGCTTACCTGCGAGGCCGCAGTGCAACATGCATGGCCCTCTGTTTACAGGATGCTGGATCTCACTGTCAAAACAAGGACATTGCAAACTCCTGTAAGGTCAAAATGCTCAGTGATTGTCACACAATTGCTCTATTGTTACACAAGTACATTGCCTCTAGTTGGGTTGGCTTTAAGCACCAAAGGAAGTTCTTTTAAATTGCAAATGAATGGTCACACTTTCCACATGAATTGCAATAAAGTCTGAAGGAATAAATAGATTTCAAGGAATGCTATTGCCAGCATGACTGGCCATGAAAGCCTTTTCAGCCAGAGTGTGTAAAACAAGTTCATTAGACTGACAGTAATACTGAACCTCAACAAAACCAAATTTGCTCTCAGTGTCAATGTATGGCAGATAGAGAGATGTCAATAGCTTTGCGCACAAAACAAACCAGCACAGGACACACACACACACAAAAAGACACACACACACATTCTCACCTCCTTGGGTCTCCGTCCCAACCCACTTGCAGCCATTCGGCCCTTTCTCAAAACACACAAACTGAAAAAAAGCAAATAAAGTCTGGGCTGGGAAGAATCTTGCCTCTTTTTTTTGTCTCTTTTCGCTTTTCTTTCCCTCCTTCTCTGGCCGTGCCTTTTCTCTGTCTCACGGCCTATGGGTAGGCATCCTGCCGTTGCCAAGGTAACCTGACTCCCCTTTAAAAGAAACAATACCCAGAGTGCTGCTCAGGCCTTTCAGATACAATGGAGCCCACGCCATTGGGTGACACAGTTTCTTTCAGCCGGCTAGACATAAGCCTCGGCCGTTGAATTGATACTCAAGCAGGGAGCTGATTTAAATAGCTCAAATTTTTCAAACCTTTGCCACTGAACGGCACAAAAGAGACAACAGACAGTACAAATGTAATAATGGTAAACATAATAATAGACCCAAGAAATTACCCAGTGGAAACTTTATAGAAAACTAAGTTAAGTTGTAATTCTGACTTACTGTGATATATCACAGTTGTCAAATATTTAATTAGGGAGTAATTTATTACTATGGGGGGTTTATTCTAGTTGTAAGATCTTGAATTGAAATGTATGCAAGAGAAACTGAGAGGCTTTCACCTCTTTGAATGACAAGTAGGTTTTACTGAGCCAGAATATTTTATTATCAGTCACAATTCTTGTTTTTTTAAATCATGCAAAACTATGAAGCTTCCACTTTTGGTGACATTGCACTTAAATTGGAGCAAGTCTCCCAGGTACCTGAGGAGGGCGCCAAAGTGCTGAGGTGTTTTTGCAGACCAGAAACTACTGGAATTCTGCATTAGCAAAGGAAATACAGCTTAACCACAAAGCTTTCTTGAAGCACTGAAAAAATACAACTCTGGTTACTCAAATCAAAGCAAATACAACAAACAATAATTGCATTGTGATCTATTTGCTTCTGAAAATGGAGATCATGAGAACCAACGTGCAACAGTAATTAGGAGGACCTCAGATCACAGTGCCATGCAGCACGCCAAAAGTTTCCACACCACTTAATCTAATTAACAACATCCCGTTTGGATACAGATTGATAGCACACACACGTCATTCAATCAGCTGACATGATGCTACCAAGAAGTGCTCTAATTTAACCCCAATAAACAAGTACGCAGCTACAATATTGAATCCTGATTGGCTGACAGCAACAGCTCCTGTGTGTGAGTTGAGGTTAACCTGCTGAGGCTACAGGAAGTCATTAAACTGCAATTAAACTCATTTCATAAGCCTTGTATAGATTTTTGAATTTATTTTTATTTACGAAGAGGTACCTATGACTTTGAGTGCTTCAACTAAAGATTTCTTTTAATTATTAAATATATTTGTGTTCTTTTTTAGGAATAAAATAATCAATTACAACATATTTTCTTTTTTAACTTAAAACTATATTTACATTCATTCAATGACAGACAAACACAACTAGGCATTTGCAAAGGAGATACGATGCCATTAGGCAACCAAATAATGGCAACGCACATATACTGTATTATATATATATATATCATTTAATTGTCATTAGACATCTTAATGTGGAATTGTTACCTATTATACCGTTAATTGTGTGTGTGTGTGTGTGTGTGTGTGTGTATGTAAACAGGTCGGTGTGCACCACCTAACCTATATGCATGTGTGCACAATTGTGTGTGTACATGTGAGATAGCAGGGTGGGGTGGAGTTACTGGAGTGATGTCACGCAGCGTGTGTGAGCAGAAAGATTTGATGAGCATAAACCTTTGTAAGCGACCTAAAGGCTTACTGGCTTTACACCCATCTGTCTCTTTCTCTTTTTCACTGTCACACACACACACACACACTGTTACGTTCCCTATTGGGCTAGGGGAACCAAAGGGAAATAACACGACCAGAGTGGAATTGGTATTAATTAAGCCCAATAGGGAACGTAACAGTGTGTGTGTGTGTGTGTGACAGTGAAAANGTCGTGTGTGATTGTTTCCGCAGACATGTAATGAATTGTGACCAACTAAGCAGGCTTTTCCAAATGGGAGCCTGACGAGCCAAGTGAGGCCAGTGACAATGAAATCAAGTGAAACCCGAGTGGATGGTTCCCTCTGGTGGCTATAGTGTGGTATTGCTCAAAATGAAAAACCTCCCCTTAATTGATCACTCGAAAAGCTTCTTCAGATAACCTAAATACTAAAATAAAGACACATTTTCTGAAAGGAAAGCCAAACGTAAATATACTACAAGTAAACTCACCCTGAAGACAAAGCACTCCCCTGTCCCAAAGAAGCTCAATTTGTTGCCTCCTCTCTTCCGCTCCTGCCAGTCTGTGGACAGGAAGGCTCCACATACCTGAGGCAAAAACAGAAATTGAATGAAACATTGGGGTTCATTTCTTGGTCTTCAAAATTCACAATAGTGGAATATTGTTTTCTACAAACTGATACTGTATTGCTGGGATGTGTTCATATATCATAAGACACATATGTAATCATGACCTATGACACCAATTAAAAGAAAAATACTACAACTGAATTCTATTGTAAAATGCAGGAAGCTCCTGTGGACCTTTTTAGTAAGTTAAATAAATTGTTGTTTAGGTAAGTACAGAAATATCAAGTTTTGTTATTGTGGATTTTGGTAACATACATCTAATAATGTTATCATGATGTCTACAAATGTACCCATATCATTGTAATGCGTGTGCGTGTGTGCGTGTGCGTGTGCGTGTGCGCGCGTGTGTGTGTGTGTGTTTTCCTTACATCACCATCTGTGGTCCGGATGAGAAGCAGAGTGGGTTCGTAGCCTTCACAATGCTGGTAGAACCTGGAGGAAATTGTGCAAGTTTAATTAAGGATGAACCTTTAGGTTAGTATACTGTATTTACTTAACTATATGTGAATGTACAGATAAGAAAGTTGCTGTTAAAGTAAATGCAAAAACTCCCAGCTAATGGATTATAATTGATTGATTAAAGACTGATAACTTCTGCTACACAAGGGCAGGTCTGCTGGTTACTGCAGAGACATTGTGTTCTGTTCAGAAATCTCTGCACCTTTTTTGTATCTCTTGCTTTGCTTCATATTTGTTTGGCTTCTATGTTCACATTTAATCTCCCTTTTAGACTTTCCGCCATCATTTCAAAGACTAAATGCTAAACAGGGCGGGAAATTTCAATTTAGATCTGAAGTCAAAGGTTTGATGATGTGTTGAGGTGAGCCCTGGACGATGTACCTGTTCAGGCTGCACCCGTGGCTAGAGGTGGTGAAGAGCAGCTGTGGTTGGCACAGGGCAAAGCGCTCCGGGATCCACGACCAGATGTCCCGCATCTCCTTGGCGCTGACGATCTCCGAGGAGAAGGTGTCGGGGTTCAGAGCCAGCTGCACGTTCCGCCTGGAGACGCCCAGAAAACAGACACAAAGAAAATGTAACTATTTGCACAGTATTGACCTTTAATAGAAAAGCCAGTCAAAGCAGATAATGACATGAATGTAATCAAGGTAAATATGGATTTATTTGAGAGTTTTGGGGTATTGACTAATCGTTTGACATCATAGTGTATGACAACTTAGGATCCATTGTAACAACTACATCTATTTAAAGAGAAAATAAGCATTATTTGAACAAATTAAAGATGGATTTTGAGAGGAGCATATGGAAGAGAACCCACCTAGGACTGTGAAAAAGCCAATGAAGGAAACACAGGAGTGAAGCGCAGACAAGATAGAAGATGGTGGATGGGATGTAAAGAAATGCAGAAACCAAAGACAAAGGGAACAAGAACATAAAGTGAGACAAGGGAGGAGCAACTTAAACCATTCACCAAAGCATGCCAGAGAAGAAAACTTAAACTAACAGGACCTTCTTGCCAGTTTTTGAACATTCGATAGGAAAAATGTTATATCATTTGTCCTCAATGACTAAAACATATCCCTGTGATAGATTATGACCTGATTATTCACTATACCGCTTCTGTTTGACAGTGATTCCTTTCTGCTGCAGGGACTTCTCGTTGGTGAGCTGCAGCAGGGTGATCTCCTTACGGCTAAACATGCGGATGGAGAAGGCCTTCTCTAGCAACTTTTCGGGGGTGACGGTTGAGGCGATGCCCTTGATGAAAGCTTGAATGTCCGCCCTGACTTTCCCTGAATCCTGCGGCTGGCTGCCCTCTCCTCCCTGGGCCCCTGCTTTATGTTTGCGGTAGAACTTGAGCAGTGCTATAGCCATACGGAAGAGAACCTTGTAGCCCTCCACTAGGTAGACGTCCAGGACCCTGACCATGTGGCTGAAAGGCAGGTCAAACAGTACCCAGCGCTGCCAGTCTGTGTAGACTTCCAGTGCGTCCTGGGCTGTGGCCACGATCAGTTTGTGGCCGGCAGGGCAGTACTTGATGGCCAGGTCACCAAAAGTCATGCAGCTGGACTCAAAGGCCAGGAAAGTCTGATCAAGCAGTCGTTTGCCGGGCTCGTTGCAGGCTAATATGCGGCTGACGAGCTCAAAACACTGAGCTTCATCTTTGCTGAAGTGCAGGAGCATGGAAGTGATAGCAGGTAGAGACGGGCAGTGGGAGATATCTGGAAACTGTCCAGCCACGCAGTTTATAATCTGATGTGCTGAGGTTACTGCCTCCGCTTTCAGGCAGTACAGAGGCAGAGCATTTCCATCCACAAACTCTGGAAGTGGGATGTTGCAGGAGGGCTTCTTAGTGCCTGCATTTCCCATAATGTCTCGATATACTTCTGCATCTGGGGTAACTGTACGACAGGGGATAGTTTTGATGAGCTGCTCGTAGACTTGTGCCCGTAGTTTGTGGTTTTTGGCCCAGTAACCCTGCCGAGCCATCTGTTTGAACTCCTTCAGGTCTTTACAGTCCACCTTGGTGGGCCCGCTGCTCTTGGCCAGATCTCCCATCTGGTTCCAGTCCACAAAGTTGCCATATTCTTCCTCAGCCATGGTGCTGGAAACTTGCTGGACGGCCTGAATGTGAAGAGAGGATGGACGCTCTGAGTATTGCTAACCTTCTGTCCTCCAAACAGCAGATAACTGGCCTGTTTTTCTCAACTGCCCATGATGGTTACTGGAAGAGACAAAGAAGGGAAAAATAGATTAATGGGCATCCCTGTACAAAATGTTTTATGGTTAATAAATGCAAAACAAGTTATTCTGTCAGAGCTGAAGTGAAGACTAAACTTGTTAGATACCTTTGAAACCTAGTTTTAGGGGAATTCCCTCAAGCCTAGAGTTCCTACATCTGAGTCTATGATGTCAATTAGTTGAGGAGAATACATAGACTTAGACTAAGGAGAGATGCTAATGAATATTAGTTTGGTAAGAGGTTATTTGCCACAAGTTGCAATTACAAGGAAAAATGGCCACAGAAAAACTGTACTGTAAAACAACAAATATCACTAATCAGATTTATGCTCTGGAAAAGGGCATGTACATGATCATGCATTCCATCTGAAGCGAAAAACAAATTAAGTAAACCAGTAGCTTGATCGGAATGCAGAACAAGACTATCTTAGGGATAAGATGTGACACCATGAAAGAGCTCGAGATGTGAGGTTATGCTCGCAGACAGATTTAATTGGCGAGGCAAAGCATGATATTAAAGCAAATGTAATTGTGAATTATCGTGGTGGGGGAAATCAAAACTTTGGGAATTTTACAAATGTTTACTGTCAATGCAATTTAGATCGACTCTCATATAATAATATGATCTTTTCCTGCAACGCAGACAAGAAACATGAACATTCATGTCCAAAGATCACACACTGAAGTGCAGTATACTGAGAACCGTTGATGTAAAATCATGTCATTTTTTAAACGCAGGTCACATGGAGATGCGTGTCCAAAGATCAGTAGCAATATACTGAGAATAACATAATGTCATACCATCCTCAGATCATTTCACATTGCTACTGACAAGTCACATGGAGGTGCATTAAATACATTACTGCATGTAAAACTGGAAGCCTTATGGTGAGTCTGTAGAAAGGTTAGCTGTCATGTTAGAGGGTATGTTACCTAAATGTTGCCAATTTACCTTTGACACAGGATTTATTTTTGTCTGAGGCAGACTTGAATCAGACTTAACAACTTAAACTGAAATGGCAAAAGGCTTCTCTGACTATAAAGTGAATGCCTTGGCTTTAAAATAAACAAGAGCAAAGTACACTCAAACCATTATGCATACAAAAGGGAGGCATGGCAGCATTCAAGCTACAGTAACTTCAAATCAGGTTGCTAGATGACAAACCAACAAGCTTCGGTTCTTTTAGGATCGTTTGGCTAGCCTTAACATAATAGTGCTGATGATAATTGAAACAGGTGTCACTTACCCATAGAATGAAAATGCATACAAATAAAACATACTTCCTTTACACAATGCATAAGCAGAAAGATCCACACACACTGATGTCTGTGCATGTCTGTGCAAAGATGTCATGGAGTAGGCAACTACCATATATCTTTGCATTTTGCATTGAATAAGCACTTCCCATCAATGTCTTCATTCATTTGGTTACATTAATTAAAAAAAATCTGATGACATGCTACAATCCAAGACTATTCAAATGATGATATATCTACTGCAAACTAAATATGAATGCTTAAGGGACTGAATGGAAGAGGAGGCTCCAATACAAGCCTTAAGAAAGCTCTGCCTCCTCTACTTCTGCAAAACTGGACAGACAGGGGAATGCTGGTGTAGGCTAAATATATGCAGATACAAAGACATTAGCACATAAATGGCTAACGTTACAGATTTTGATACCTTACCCCTGAGCTGTGGGTAACACTACAGTGTCAGTGTGTACAGTTGTGTCTCCACACACTGGATTGACAGCTGCAAATATACGCAAAGCTTCGTATATTCAGTCAAATAACCTATTAGCCTTAGCTAGCCACCATACATGATAGCAGCCTGTGCATACGGTTCATTTAATATTACCGCCCGAGCAAATCTGTTACACCCTTTTTCATTCACACTTGCCCGGTGGTTAGCATTGCTAGCGTTAGCAAGCTGCTCCTGTCAGTGCATGTAAGTAGCTAACCTTCATCAGACTAACTAGCAACCAGAAAACATAACACGAAGCCATGCAAATATCGACCGACAAAACAAACAGCCCATTACAATATGTCTGCTAACGTTGCTGCACCAGCTAGCATGAATGTCACCAACCACAAATGAATTTGGTCCGCAGGCTGTCTTGGAGTTAGTTGATGTGGAGAGGTTTCAGCCTCAATTTGTGGAAAAGCGATGCATTGAAACACAGAACCGGCGACAGGAATACATAATACTTCAACCAAAAATGACCGACGACTGGTAAATAAATGATAAATCACTGACAACAAGTAAACTGTCCTTATCCTTACCTGGAAGTGAGATGTCTTGAGACGTGAAGCAGTAGTCATATTAAGTTGCCTCACGCATGCGCAGTGCCTCCCTCCTCGGTGACAGTCCTGCTGCAGAGGGGCTCAGGTGGGCTGGGTAAATAATATAGCAGCCACTGCTCTGGTTAATTCATAAAAACTTCTCAAAGAAAACTGTTTTATAATTTTAAGATTTTCAATGAAGATAAACAACTAGATTATAGTCTAATACACATTAGATGCTATTTCAGTGAAATAATGCCGTTTTGAACATTTGACACTACTATGTTACATTTTCCATACACAAAAGGTAACATCATTCAAAACCCCAAAACACTAAAGAATGATAAAGGACAATACTAACATACCTCCCAGGTTATAATCAGAGCAACACTAAAATATGTGTAAATCAAACACTTAATATCAACAGAAGTCAATTAACACAGGACTGAATAAAACAAGAACAAATACAAATAAATTCAAAGCCAAATAAAAAAGGTGGGTCTTTAGTTAGCCCCATAAGTAGAAGAATTATAACACATTTTACAGTACTATGCTTTTAGTGAGTATTATAGGAATGCCACAAGATAATCAAACCACCAAGAGTATGATAACGTCCCGTTATACAGTCTGGTCCTTTTATCGTTTACCTCTAGGAGTTATCTTACAGTGCTGTGAGAATGAGGTTGCATGGCAGATCCCAGTAACTGATTTTTCTTGTTTACTTGCAGACATGCTCTGTCTCACTGGGAGAGGACAGGAAGTACCCTAGCAACGCCAACAAACGCATCCTTTGTCCTGCACTCAAAGCAACCGTCAAAACACAATCGCCCAACACATGACACTTATTACCGGTGATTAAATTGTAGAGCCACTGTTGCCTTCCACAACAAGTCAGGGTAAAAGGTTTATCGGCCTAGTCCAGTGCCTCTTAAACACGGCTGATGTTTTTCATATTGTCGTTAGTACTGCAAAAGTGATACAAATGTTGTGTTTTATATGCTGGTGTGTGATAGACATGTGATCGTGTCGAGGGCACCGAGCATTCGCAGCGGCTGGCCGGGCCCTAGGCTCTGGAACACTCTGCCCCTCGAGGTCGGCCCAGACCCTAGGGGTTTTTAAATCAACACTTAAAACTCACTTCTTCTCTCTGGCCTTCTAGCCTTTTCTTATCAAGCTGCACTTTTGTGGAATCAGCTTCTAGTTTGTGTTCGGGCGGCAGACAGCCTATCCGTTTTAAGAGTACGCTTAAAACCTTCTTTTGATAAAGCTTATAGTTGATAGAATAATCGAATAAGAGTGCATTGAGGTAGACACGCTGTGCCTCTTCACCTACATTTTGGTCCTTGCTCTTTCACTTAAATCCTAAAAGCTTGGATCTTATATTTAAAACTAAGGTTATTCTCATTCTTCTAAATCTATTCTCTCTCTACTTCTCATACTCTCTACTTCTGTAATATCTATTCATTCTATTTTCTCTTTATCCAAAACCTTTCCCCTCTCTGACCTCTCGAGGTTCTATTTAGGTAACAGGTTGCAGAGAGGCCTATTCCGGCCGGGGAGTTTTATGACCGTAGTCACAGCGTACCTCCTTACCTCTCACCAATTCCAATTAAGGTTCCAGTGGGGACTGTTTCTTACTTCTTACTTGCTACCCTTTTCCCTCAACCTATCCTAAGGGAGTGCATGTACGTAGACACGTTAGTTTAGCTGCTATAGGCTCGGACTGTCGGGGGACACCTTACTTCTTCCTTCTGTCTGTCTGTACCTGTGTACTCTCATGTTCTGATGAACCCAGCCTCCCCAAAATTATATCTACGCCGGGATCTTGAGTCGAGGCTGATCCTGTTGCTGTGGTCCTGTGTCCTGGATCCTCTATCCTGAGTTCTGGATTGAGTCCTGGACTTCGAGTCGTGGCTGAACCTGTCTCTGCGGTCCTGCCTGACTCTCATCATACTACTTCCCTGATGGCTTCCACAGGATTGTTGACATCCTCGTGGATTCATCTTTCTTATTATAGACACATGCATTTCCAAACATTTGGTCTACCTACGCTGTAAAATGTATTATCTTTTCGATTTACACACGGCATCTATTGCACGTCTGTCCGTCCTGGGAGAAGGATCCCTCCTCTGTTGCTCTCCCTGAGGTTTCTCCCATTTTCCCCTTTAAACTGTGGGTTTTCTCTGGAAGTTTTTCCTTGTACGATGTGAGGGTCTAAGGAGAGAGGGTGTCGTTTTCTCATACTGATATTCTGCACAAACTGTGCTGTTGTATTTGTTGTAAAGTGTCCTTATTGTAAAGTATTTTTACTGTATGTACAGCACTTTGGCTCGACCAAAAATCGTTTTAAAAATGTGCTATATAAATAAAACTTGATTTTATTTGATAATCTATCAGCTTGAGTCAAATATTTAGCATAATTTAGATTTGAGCTATTTCCCAACCTACATAACACAAACATATCTCACAATATTGCACAGTATTCTTCATTTTAATTATTGTTTTATGTTGAATATCCTCTCCTCATAGCTACCACTTTAAACAGCCAACTGACTCTTCAGGCCATAAAGTGTGTTGGAATGAAAATAACAAGCATGTCACATGATTATGATAACAATCATAAATGGATTGTCAGTGTGTGTGTGTGTGTGTGTGTGTGTGTGTGTGTGTGTGTGTGTGTGTGTGTGTGTGTGTGTGTGTGTGTGTGTGTGTGTGTGTGTGTGTGTGTGTGTGCCTCTCTGTGTGTGTGTGTGTGTGTGTGTGTGTGTGTGTGTGTGTGTGTGTGTGTTCTTGTGCCTCTGTGTGTGTGTGTGTGTGTGTTACGGCTGCTGCCTTCCTGGTCGTCTGAGTGTTTTCAGCTGTGTGTGTTCTATGTAAATGAGCTGTGCGGTTGCCCTCCCGGCATTGGCTGCCATCTCCTGGTCCGCCNCCCCCCCCCCGGCTTTGAGTTATAATAACACGTGGCTACAAATAGCAGAACAGACCGGCTCTCTAACGCCTGCTGTATGAATTATTTACTGGTAATCCGTGTTGATGCACAGCTGTGGACTGTCTAGGCTTGCACACTAATACTTGCACACTAATACTTTAGATCGGAAACTCCTGTAACCGGATACAGTAGTAACTGGTCTGGCTCTCACCTGACACCAGAAGGAAGAAGGGACAATTAGCGAGGACCAAATGTCTGTCTGATGATTTTATTTTTTTATTTAAAGGTCCCATGTCATGGCCATTTCCACTGATCATAATTCCATTGTTGAGGTATACTAAAATAGAAAAATACTGTGCAATTTTCCAAACTCACATTGGTTTCGCATACAGCATCTCTGTAAAGTATGTGTATTCAGCAGTATCCACTTTCTCCACTAAACGGCTCGCTGCAAGCCCCCCCCCTCCTGTGAGCCCAGTGTGCCTCTGTTGGTCGGTAGCGATCGCGCTGAGCTCCGTGGAGGTGGTGATTTCCTTGTGTTTAGCGATACACAGCCAAGCTCAACCTGAACACACACAAAGTCACAGCCGAAATAAAAAAAAATAAGTGTGGCTTGATATTGAGTAAGAAAAAGGTTTATAGGTTGATAAACGCTTTGAGAATGGGTCTGCAGAGCGAATTTTGCCGTGATCCCAACTGTCTGTTATCAGCCTGCAGCCAGGGACAGAAATCAGCAGGGCTGCCTGCACTGAGTGTGTGTGTGGATTGGTCAATTTGGACCAATCAGCGGGGGCGTAACGGCTCCGCGGACGTAACGTAACGGATAGGCCCATTTAGTACATTTGGTACGTGCTTTCGTAAGCACGTACCCGGAAGAATCAAATGGATGATGACAGGGTGTACTTTAAGGGTTTTGACTCTGCACACCGTTTACATGCAGAAAAACCTTCATAACACACAAGGGGACGGGTAATAAACGGAAAAGCATGTCATGGGACCTTTAATGCTCAACTCAAACAAGGTGTCTCATTGAGATTGTCAAAGGTGTGTACAGAGATAAATATACAGTTTAAGTTTTCTAGACACAAATATCATACATATTTGAAACTGGCTTCACGTGACGAAAATCAATTACAAGTGGAATTGCAAATACTTGTGGATATTCTTGAAATGAGAGGTTTCGTTTTTTTTTTAAGCTAATTCGATCGTGGGGAGCATATCATTTGAAACCAGTTCCCCTAGGATCAGTTTAAACATGCAGCACAGCTACAGTTACAATATCCTGTGACTTGATGGTGTAATTATTTATAGACCAGAGAGCAAAGGTTACAAGGCAGCTACTGTAGAAAAAACATGCAATGCAACTCCTATATGTTGGTTGAACGTGTGAAATTTAAGGAAGGAATTAAAGGCATACATGAAGTATCCCTTTCTTTAAGCATTATTATTTTAAAGCTTTCTTTTGTCACCTTTTGCACGTGTGTTGCTGTAAAGAAGGATACATGTATTTCAATGTTAATAATGTTAACCAATGAAATGTGTGATGCTCAGGTGAGTAATCAATAATGAATGTCTGTCTCTCTTGCTAGATGAAGCCAGAGATGGAGCACTTTGAGTGGGTGGTGATCCGCCACCCTGAGTTAGCGTCCTCCAGCAACGCTCAGAGCCAGGAAGAGCCGGCCTCCTCTGAGGGTCAGAACTCTGAGAACAACGGCTTACAGCAGCCAGAGAAACCTGCTGGAGACCTGTCGCCCTTCCTCTCCGCCCGCCACTTCAACCTGACCTCCAAGAACACTTCCATGTTCATGGCCGGCAACTTTGACTCCATCATAGTGGGTGAGTGGAAAATACTGTATGGTATTGGTGTGTATTTAGTCATTCTGGTCCCCTTTTCAAATGTTGCAACATTCAATATTATTAAAAATATATGTATATTTTGTAATATACACAGGTTATATATAGTAGTACAATGTCCACATTTCATTACTTACTTACTTGAACTCCTTGTGTTTATATAATAGGTTTATTACATTCTATTTGAATTTGTATTGGACTTGTTGCTTTAATTGTATTCTTTATGTTAATATAAATATCATTATTTTCCCCAAAATAATTGAACATTTTGACTTTTACTTATTTTCTTTTTTTTTTCAATCTTTTCTATTATTCTAAAATAAAGCAACTATCACAAAACCCAATTTCAAGTTTTCAGATTGTGATTTGTGGTGTGGAGTTTTTTCTCTCCTTGCGGTAGCTGGCCAAAGTTATGTTTTTCAGCTACCCGATTATTTATTTTTTTCCTTTCTTAAAACATGTGGAATCGTATCAAATGTGGTATTTTATTGTCAACCATTCATCGTAATGAACAACGCATTTTGATGACGATTTGGCCGTTTCTCAATGTCAAGTATACCTGCTATACTACGTCATCGAGTGACGTAGTATACTTCATCAAATAGTGGCTCTGCAGCAGGTATACTCGACATTGAGAAACGGCCTTTGTGTGTTTCTGAGTGTTTCTTCAAGTTACATAGACACTTTGGACTTCCAGCTAATAAAACTGTGTGCTCTTGTCTCTGATCAGGCGGGGGGGACGGTAACGCTCTGTACATCGACTCTGAGCTCAACCACGGTCGCGCTGGCCGCTGCGCCACCTTCGACAACCCCCCGCTGTGTGCCGAGAGCTTCCAGGTTGCACTGCTCGAAACCTGGGGCTTCCAGGATGCCATGGCCTCATAGTGCTGTACACAACACACACAAACACACACACACACACACACGCATGCATATAGATTAGATCCATACAGACACATTCATGTAGACATAATTTAACATTTAAACATTTAGATATAAAATGTCCAGCAAAGTGTTTCGAGGTGGGAAACACAGGTATGCAAACAGATATACATCCGTCCTGCAAATGCATAATATATGATTAACAATTTTGTATTTATTAATTCAGTTAATCCAGATTTGAAAACAAAAAAGTGACATTTTTATTTGTTTTCTGTTTATTTTTGTATTTACAGATTTTTTTTTTTTTTATGGTGTGCTCATTATGTTAAAGTATCTGGTTATACAGTATGAAGGAAGTCAGGATCAAATCTAGATAAGGAAGTTAGTTTTACCATGTCGGGTGTGGTTCGTTCATGTTCATGAGCTTAACATTACATTTTCTTAATGTAAAGTCAGTGTTTTATGATCTGTGGTTCATTTCAATCTGCCAAATTGTCTGTTAAGCTATCTAAAGTCCTTAAAAAAAAAAAATGTACCAGGCCATTAGATATTAGAAATAATGTGTGAAGTCAAGAGTTGAGTTAATGAGATGTTTTTAAATGTCAAAAGCAAAGATTTAAATCTAGTGTTAGTGGAGTGAGGTCAGCTAAGTTTGAATTAAGTCCTGATGCATTTCCCCCCATTTTAATTTGCTGTAATATTTGGGAGATCTGCTAATGTGGTAAATGTTTGTGAAACAATGGTGAATATGAGTGTTTCCATTTTGTACCATATGTCAAAGCTTTCATTTGAGTGAGTGGCAGTTTCTCCTTTGTGTTGTCTATGAATATTTGTGTGAATAAGAGAAGACACTCAAGGTGTTTTTTGGTTTACAAGTAACGGAGATCATGCAGTTTGCTAATCAATCTCCGAGTCTTACCCTGCTTCTTCCGTCCTTTCCCTGGTGAAGATAGTAACAAAAGAAGTCCAAATGTGTGCCGTGTTGGCAAAGTATTGTTGGGGTAATTATAAACGCTGTTTTTACGTATATGTTCAAACATGTGCTTCAGTGAAATATCAATTGAGTGAATACAAATGTATCCTGTGAAAATACAGCAACATGCTTTCAGTACAGTAAGCGACTTGGTCTTTCTTTTGTTGTTTTGCTGCTTTGTCTTATCTTCCAAATCTATCACATCTCTGTCTCTGCAAAGAGAGGGGGACATTTCTTCAGACTGTCGCAGTAGTGTGTCAGATGCCTTAAGGTCAGCTGACCATAAATCCACACACACACACACACACACTAATCATGTCCTACTCTATATGCAGCTAGTATGCCTGTCTACACACATTACTCTTAAATAAATACACAAATAGAAGTCAAAATACTTGCCGTACAATATTTATTGTTTATTTGATGTTTTATTCACATTTTTAATACCAAATGCAAACTGTTACCGATTTTAAAACATTTTCTTTTTTTTAATGAAACGTATAGCTGCAATATTAAAGTGGTTGGGAAAACATCCTAGTTCAAACTCAATACCTCATTTGACAAAATGGAGAGAAATGACACTGTTGCAAAGGACATTGTAGATGTATAGTTCTGGTTCTAAACCACAAACTGTATGACTCCTAAATAACTCATACACACGTTTTGATGTTTCTATTTTTTCTTTGTCTGCTTTTGTGGAAGCTGACGGTGAACTGCATGACTGGAAAACATTTAGCATAGATGAGTCAGATATACCTACAAATATATCTTTAAAAGCCTTCTCCTTTTGTACCCAGCTATATTCAGTTCAATGAAGTCCTTGTTAGAATTTAATCCCAAAGGACTGCCTTAAATGCATTGTTGTTGCTATAGACAGTACACATTTAACAACCATATTGTTACATAGTGCCATTTCACTTAACACTTCAGTATGGGAGCATCCCATTTCAATATTGTACATGAAAGCTCTATTCAAATAAATGCTCAATTCATTTGCAGTGGGTGTGGCACAGCCCTAATGCATCTGCAGAACTGTAGTATTTTTAGTGTTGGTGTAATTCCTTCTTTACAGTAAGTGGCATTAACTCTGTCTTGCCAGAGCCGTTCATTCAGGATTCACACTCAGCTTATCGCACATGCACTTCTATTTTTAGCGGCTCCTTTGGGTGTTGGTCTGGCGCATCTCCTGAAAAACATGCTTTCCAGCCTAAAGGAGTAAGATGCTTAAGTATTTAACCGTACACTGAGATGGGTCTCTCCTCGACCGGCCTCTGCCCCTCAGATGAAAAGGTGCTGTGGACGGCGGGGAGGGGGGATTAAGAGGTAGTCTAAGGCGGTCCCAGCTAAAGTTGTTTTGATTTACAGACAGGATGTTGTAATGTAGTATTGATAGGGAGGGTGGACACTGGTGTGTTATTGATTACATGTCACAAGCTGCCTAATATAATAGGCTGTACACCTCTCGTTTGAATAATTACCATTATATTTTAAGGATTATGTCATTTAGGAATACAGATATTTTGTCTTTATTGCAGGATTAATATTTATTCCACAGCATTAGTGTTTTGAAAACACACAGATTGGATTGAGTTTCTATGCCAGTGAAAATGAAAGACAGAGTTGTGTTTTTGGTCACATGCTGAAACCAGACCAATACAGGAAAAAGGCCAGATGTGAGAATTGCTTAGCTCAGACACTTTCTTTATTTAGATCCTTGGCGAGCACAAGGCTCTGTAGAATTATATCCTGGTCCGATCATGTATTAAAGAACAAAAACCACATATTGATTAAGGTTCTATATCCAGAATCACAGTTTAGTACGTTGATTAAAATGGTGTTGAATGCTTTATGGTGCATCTTGAATGATATCTTGACTGAATCATGGCTTTGTGAGAATTTCTCACCCTGTTTCCCCTCATAATCCAACCTCAACAACAGAAAAGCTTACATCCTCTTACATCTAAAAGAGTCGGTCCTGGATCAATGATCCAGTCCAGATCCATAAGTCAGTCGAGAAAGAGAGAGTAAAAACCCTCTCAATCATTGTGACCTTTTTGACATTCATGCATCACTGCACATCATCCGTGCATCAAAATGATCTTTTCTCCTTGCATAACGCCACCTTGCAGATGGTAGCCGAAGTAAGACGTTGGCCGAGTCAAGTGTTTAAAAGGAAAGAAGCCAGTGTAGAAATTGCATCACGATCACGAGTGAAGGAGCTTTACAGTGATAAAGGGGGAGGGGTCCTTCTCTGGTGCTGACTAGACAAGGCAATGCAGAGGGAGCAGAATGGAGGGATGGATGGAGGAAGAGAAGGAGGAGGATGCATGGGGACGGCACAAGCTCTCGGTGACTCACACATGCACACATTTCATATCTCCCATTATGTCCCCCTCCCCCCCCCCATCCTCTTTCTGGATCCCTAAACCTGCTCTTGCTGGGAGCTACACAGTGAAATGGGAATTCTCGTTTCCCTCCCCCCACCACAAACCCTACACACTGAGCCTCAAATTCTCTCACTCTCACATTGCTGCATATCACACCTGACTGTAAACCACCCTCAGTTGTATGGTAGAGTCCTGGTGCAAAATGCAGAAAATATGTTTTAACATAATGCAATATTAGGAATTTCAGTTCTTGGAGATGTCACTGTAATCAACTGTGACTCTTGAAGCATGACATTTATTTTACATATAATCTGATTTCTAATATATAAAAGGCATGTGCTAAATAAAATTATGTATTTTCTTTGTTTTCCCCCTGATTGATATGATAAATCAAGCATCATTTATTTATTATTAGCCTAACAGTCTCTCCACACCCTCTTGATTTCCCCCATCATTTCATCCTCCTGCTCCTGAAGGGTGAATGCATAGATATCAAAGGGGAAGCCTGCAGCGGAGCAAACCAAAGTGATGCCCGATAGGGGTGATCTTCATAACAAAAGAAAAAGAAAAAAATTATATAAAACACTTTCTTTGTACAAAATAAGTCAATTAAAGATTTAAACCCTTATTTCTTATTTCCTAAAGGCGTTGTGTGATCATGAACGCAAATAAATAAATAAATGAAGTTTATTTTGGTTGCTTCCCCCCCCACACCCAGTCGATGATAGGTTTTATCCGTACGGCCAAGTCAGGTGATACTTTCCGCTTCGCCATTTTGTGCTGCTGCGCCGGGTATTTATCAGAAGAGTCGTGACTATCCTGTTTACACACTGCTAGTTAGACTCTCCTGGTATTGTAGTCTGTGTCTCATTTCAAGACTGTGTCCTTCGTTTGGTTCCGCGCATTTTTGAGTCGACATTAATTATTAGATTTTGTACATTTAGTTTATTTTTATATACTTAGTGAGTAAGAATGTCGGCCGAAAGTCCCGAATACGCTCCGTTCTTCGCAGTGATGGGAGCCTCTGCGGCTATGGTGTTCAGCGGTAATTATCATTACATTTTACACTTAAACCTGGTTGTTTGTTACACAATATGCTAACCCATTGTTGCTTTTTGCATCTTACCCAGCTCTGAATTGTCTTCCATGGTGCGTGTCTTGGACGCTTCTTGTTAAAGCCACCCGCTAGCCTTGCTAACGTCGCAATGCTAATCTTGAGCTGTCATTTATTTTAGCCTTAGATAACAGCTAGCTGGGAAAAGCCATTGACTTTGTTTTTTTCTTAACATGCCAATGTTTTGTTAGTGTTAGTTGGTTAATGCTATTGTCGCTGCTAGCTAACAGACGGCTAGTTGGCAAGCTAGCTGATGACGAATACATGTTAGCTTTGATGTTAGCATACATCGGTTTTGTACGTTTTTAGATTTTTGAACTGATTCAGACAGGACAACATGGTGAATAATACTGAACAAACATGTTAACCATTGGTATTAAAGCCGTGCTTATTCGTTGACAGTCATAATGTATTGAATGTGTTCCTAATACATTTGGTTGCACTTGCTAGCTTTCTGCATTTAGCAGGAGGTTTAAAGGTGAGGTTAAATCCCACCTTTTTGCCACATGCCACACTACTGCATGCAAGGCTTAAGGGTGTTAAAAGCAATAGGGATTTAGTTGTATAAAATCTGATTTAATACAATAAAGTAATATTCGTTAAGCAATGGAGTAAAATATTCGGAGTGACGTCGATCTGCGTAAACTGTTCGTCATTCTGTCACAATTTGTCAATTCTGTTGTGTCGCATCTAATTTAGTGCAAATTATTTTAATCTGAAAAACTGCTCTATTGTACAACTCAAATAGCGATTGGAAACATGAATCAGCTGGTTAACTTCCTTATTGCTCAAAGGAATGACACAAGGTCACATGATAATCACATGATGATACTTTTGACTTGGAATTGCCATCTGAACATGTGAAAACTTACTAGAAAGTCAAAAGTTCATAATTGAGAATTCAAGTTGTTAAAGAAAATATGACACATTTGAATATAAAAAAGGACGTTTTGACTTTAAATTGTATCAGTGTGTTTGGATAGGAAGTGTTTAGTGACAACTCTTGAATCTGTCTTGTTTTAGTATTGCTCATACTTTTTTATATCTTCTGCTTTTTTATTTGTTTACCTTTTTTAATATAGCTACATAATATGATCAACTGTATCACAGCAGATGCCCTCACGTGACTGGTGGTATTGGTGAAGCTCCAATGGGAAATCAACAATCTGCTAATTGACCATGTTGCAGAGGGCTTGACCTGCTGTAGCTCCAGGCCTTTTGGCAATACTCTCATTTATGGTGGTAATAGTTTATAGGTTTTCATTAGGGAACATCACCAGAGAACGGCTTCGGTGTAAGAAAATTAGACAATATTGGAATCTATTTAGAAATAGCTTTTTCTGCTGGAGTGAAATATTGGATTCTGTTCCCACCTCTTTTTGTGTTATCACAGATTTATTCATCGAAATGCCTATTTAATAATCAGTGAATGCAAGGTTTTTACATGTTTTTTCCACACACAAAAAAGCTGACTTAGTAACTGGTGTTTGTAGTGTTAACGTTGGTAGGGAATCACAACTGAATTCTTACCAGCCCTAAAACGAAATGATATCCAGCTCCATGCCAAACCAACCCTGTCATAACTCAAGTTTAACGTGTAGTGATGGGCATGGGCAGCCTGGTGTTTTTTTGCCCCCTGAGGC